GGCAGAGTGAAGCAGGTGGGGAGCAGAGAGGAGGCTGCCAGGGGGGCTCTGGGCAGCCCCAGGCCGCTGGGCAGGTGCTCCTGCAGCTCTGGGGCTGGGGAGGCTGGAGGGGCTGGTGACACAGGGGGCAGAGATGGGGCCATGGGAGGCGTGGGGATGGCAGCAGGGCAAGCACAGGGGATATGGGGATGGGAGTGGGGTGAATGCCAGGCCATGTGGGCAGGGGAAATGGGGTGAATGCAGAAGATGTGGGAGTGGGGTGAGCACAGGTGGTGTGGGAACAGAGACAGGAGCAGAATGAGTGCAGGCAGTGTGGGGAGGAGAGCCAGGTGCTGTCAGGGCTTGCCCAGCCCACCTGTCCTGACAGGCTCACAGAGCTGGGCTGTGCCCTGGTGGGCTCTGCCAGCCCCAGCTCTGCCAGCCCACAGTGGCTGGTGCTGGGCTGAGGGCAGTGCCTCACCAGCATTGCCATGGGCAGCCTTGCCCCTGTGCAGACAAGGTGGACAGGAGGCTATGAGTGTCTGGGGTCTGGCACAGAGAGGGAAAAGCCCATGGAGCTCTTCCACCCATCACCCTACAGCTCTGTGGCTCTGCTCCCTGGGCAACCAGCCCTTCCTGGCTGGGCAACCTCCTTGGGAGGGAAGAGGAGCAGCTCTTTGTAGCGTCTGCAGGCAGCTTGCAGAGAGGTCTTGGAGGGACAGGAGCTCTTTGTGATCCCCCCAATCTGTGAGCAGCTGCCCTGACAGTGCTGGGAAATGTTGGAGGGTGTGTGTGCTCAGGCTCCCGGGGAGGTGGAGCAGCCCCTGTGTGACACAGGTGATCCTGGCTGATGGATCTGGCTCCCTCTGCCCCTGCTCCAGGGCAGCTGTGTCTCAGCACTGGTGTGTGCCCACAGGCAGTTTGCTGGGGTGGGGCTGTCACGGCTCTGGCTCTGTGCTGGAGGGCTGTGAGAGTGTGCTGCCATGGCTTTGGCAAAGTGCTGGGGGCCAAAGGATGCTCTGAGCCCCTTGGGGCTGCCGTGGTGCTGGGCTGGGAGGCAGGAAGCTGGGACAGCTGGGTGAGGAGGATGTGAACCCAGCAGTGCAGGTCAGCCAAGCTGTGCCTTCCAGTGCAGGGAGACAGCCTCCCTTCAGAGTGCAGGGGGCTGCTGGTGTCAGTGGTGTGTGCAGGCCTGCCCTGGGGGTACTGGCTGTGCCCAGTCGACCCCATCCCCTTGCCTCTTGCAGGGCCTGAGATGCTGGGATGGGGAGATCCCTCCCTGGGAGGCTGTTCCTGCTGGGATCAGGGACCCCCAGGCTGACCCTGCCTGTGGAGCTGCCTCTCAGTGCCCACCTGGCACTTGGCTCCCAGCCCCGCTCCCCCGAGCCTGGCAGAGGGCAGCAGTGCAGAACAGCTCTCCCTTTGTGCCTGCCCCAGCTCCTGCTCCTCAGCTCCTGCCCCTCGGCTTGCAGGACCCGCTCCCCTCCTCTTCCCAGATGCTCGCTGTCCCTGGCAGCTCAGCCATGGAGACAGCGCTTTCAGAGCCTGCCAGCCTGGCAGGGATGGGGAGGGGAGCGATGGAGACGCTCCAGCCGAGGTTTCCTTTGTGTGTGTCCCCGTGTCCCCGGCTCTCCTGGCACGCCCGGCTCGTGCTGATGGCTTTGGATGCTGATGCTGGATCAGGCTCCTGCTGTGACGCCCATCATCGCCCCAGCGGGAGCTGCCACTTGCAGAGGGGTGTTGTGAACCCCTGCCTGCTCCTGTGTGTGTTCATCCATCCATCCATCCATCCATCCATCCATCCATCCATCCATCCATCCATCCCTCCATCCATCCTTCCATCCCTCCACATCCTGCCTGCTCCTCTGTGTGGAGCCAGGAGGGGGTTGAGCTCTGCTCCCAGGTAAAGTGACAGGACAAGAGGAAATCACCTCAAGTTGTCCTGGGGAGGTTTGGGTTGGATATTAGGAAAAATTTCCTCCTAGACAGGGTGGTCAGGCCCAGCTGCCCAGGGCAGTGGTGGAGTCACCATCCCTGAGAATACTCAAAACACTGTGGGTGTGGCACCTGGGGACATGGCTCTGTGGTGAACATGGCAGAGCTGGGGGAATTGGTGATCTTAGAGGGGGTTTTCAACCTAAACAATTCCATGATTCTGTGTTTGGAGGAGGTGTCGTGGTGCCTGGGCATGATTTGGAACTACATGTGAACACCTCTCTAACCCAGCTGGGGTCTCATGTTGCCCAGTTCCCAGGGATTCCTGAGAGGGCAAGGGTGCAACACTCTGGTGCAGGTCAGCTGGGGCAGTTGGACAATGTGGAGCCCGAGGAGCAGCTGCACTGGCCTAGAGAAACCCTCTGAGATGGTTTGTGATGGTTTCTGAGATGGCACCTCTCCTGGTGCCTACATAAGCCCCCTGTGATGCTTTGTGATGTCTCTGCTTTCCCACATGAGTTTTGGCAGCTGGTGCCCGTCCTTGCCCTCTTGCTCAGCTCATCCCACTCTCATAGTGGAGCCTGTAGTATTTGTCCACCAGCTGGCAGCAGCTCCCAGGGACATCCCTGGCTGGTGCTTGGCCAATTTCCTGAAGAGCAGGACCTTCCTGGGGGATTCCTGCACCTGCAGCGTCTCTCTTGCACTGGGGAGATGGGAGAGGATGGCAGGGGGAGCACACTGGGGACTGGCACATGGCTGCTCCCTAAACCCCACAGACCCCCTGGCTGGGAGAGGGTGAGGGATGGGTGCTTGGAGCTGGCTGGGCAGCGAGGTTTGGGGAATGGGAGTGGGGCAGATGTTGGTGTGTGGACACTGGGACAGCCCAGCAGGGCCAGGCTCAAAGTGGGCTCCCAAATGCCCTGAAGAAGATTCATGTGCACACACACCCCTCCAGCACTGCTGCTCGTGCTGCTGCAAACCCCCCTTGCAAGGGTGAGGGGTGGGGCAGGGGGAGAGACAATGAAATGTTTTGCTGAAAACCTGCTCTCGTTTTTCCTGGGAGGGGGAAAAAAATTCCCAAACGTATCCGTTCCTCTGCTCGTTCCCTGGGGCTGCAGTTGCTTCTCATGTCTAGGGTGGGGATGGGGGAAGCACATCATCATGCTCCAAAAGTAATTAAAGTCAGGGATAATTTTTCTGGAGGAGGGTGGAACCCTGGGAAGGCGACAGGAACGAGTCTGGGGCTGAGCACATCAGAAGCCGCTTTTTATTGTGGCTGCTGAGCTAAATATATCCAGAGAGGCAGGGAGAGGTTCCCATGCGAGGGCTGCAGGGTGCTCGAGCACTGCCTGCCCTGCCAGGGACACCCTGCACCCCAAACACAGCCCAGGGTGTCTCCGGCCCTCCTGGCCCTGCTCCTGGCTGGGTGAGGAGCAGAGGCTCTGCACAGAGCTGTGCCAGGCTGGATATCAGGGAAAGGCTCTTCCCGCAGGATCCCCGGGGAATGGGCACAGCCCCGGGGCTGCCAGAGCTGCAGGAGCCTTGGGATGTCCAGGGATGCCCAGGCTGGGTGTGCAGGGCAGGGATTGTGCTGGATCATCCTGGTGGGTCCCTTCCAGCTCAGGAGATTCCTGACTCTGAGTCCCAATCCACACAGCGGCTGCTCAGGTCTCGATGTGGCTTGCCAGGGATGTGGTTTGAAGGAATTAATAGCTGTGTTTATGGAGCACCCAGGGACGGGCGCTGTGCAGTCATTAGCACTAACGAGAGTATTTGCATGGCGCTTGGCTCCAAACTCCTTTCTCCATGAGTCCCCTGGGAGCCCCCAGCTTCCTGCAGCCGGTGCATGCAGAGCTGTGCAGCCCTGCAGAGAGAGGAGCAGTGTGTGCAGGTCCAGCTGCTCTGCTCCCACCTTTCTCGGGCAGGGATTGAGTGCAGTGGCTGGGATGTGATGGGTGGGTCACAGGCACAGCCTCGCCTGTCCCGCTCCTGTCATCGAGTCCAAGGCTGGGGACAGCTTTTGGGCTGGGTGGTGGTTTGGTTCAAACGGCGAGGAACTGTCTTGTCATCGTTTTACATTTTAAGCCTCTGTAGCTGTGGTTTGATGTGTCTGTGCCGGGGGCAAGTGGGGCTGTGCTGTGGCCTGGCTGCCTGTCCCTGTCCCTGCTCCCTGTCCCTGCTCCCTGTCCCTGCTCCCTGTCCCTGACTCTGCTCCCTGCTCCTGTCCCTGCTCCCTGTCCCTGCTCCCTGTCCCTATCCCTGCTGTCCCTGCTTGGTGCCAGGGCCTGGCTGTGCCAGCCCTGCCAGGGCCACCAGGGTGAGTGAGCCAGTGCAGGCTGGGCTGCTGGGCCAGGGGCAGTTCTAGGGACAGGCTCTGTGTTGTCACCAGCTCTGTACCCAGCCCTGCCTGCCATCTCATTTGTGGTGTCTGCTGGAGTTCCTGGGATGTGCCAGCCTCTGTTCTCAGCTACAAACAGGTCAGGGCTGTGGCTGGCTGCAGGAGCTGCCCTGCTCTGCGTGCTCTGTGCTGCAGGCAGAGGTGCTGCCCATCCCCTGCCTGCATGAGCCACGTTTCCAGCAGGTGTTGTAGAAAGCCTTGAGCTGGAAGGGACCCACAAGGTTCACTGACTCCAGCTCCTGGTCCTGTGCAGGACACCCCAGCAATCCCACTCTGTGCCTGAGAGCGCTGTCCAAACGCTCCTGGAGCTCTGGCAGCCTTGAGACCATGCCCAGCCTCTGGGGGAAGAGCCTTTCCCTGACAGCCAGCCTAACCCTCCCCTGGCACAGCTCCAGCTGTTTCACGGGGTCCTGTCCCTGCTCACAGAGATCACAGCTGGTCCTTGTGGGGAAGCTGCAGACCTCCATAAGGTCTGACCTCAAGCTGCTTTTGTCCAGTCTGAACAAGCCAAGTGACTTCAGCTGCTTCTCATATGGTTCCCCAAGGCCCTTCACCATTCTTATGTCCCTCTTTTGGAGACTCCCTACGTTCATGTCCTTCTTACACTGTGGTGCCCAAAACTGCACACAGCACTCAAGGTGAGGCTGCACCAGTGCAGAGCAGTGGGGAGCAGTGTTTTCCCTCTGGTTGTGCTGGACTAGTCACAGGACATGGATCACAGGGTGTGCTGTGCTCACATCCTCAGGACCAGACTGGTGTCCCCCAGGACTGGGCTGCCCTCAGCCTGCTTCTCTTCCCACAGGATCCGTCCGCAGCTGCCCAAAGAGAAGATAGAGGGATGTCACATCTGTACCTCGGTGACACCTGGCGAGCCCCAGGTGCTGCTGGGGAAGGACAAGGCCTTCACCTATGACTTTGTCTTTGACCTGGACACGTGGCAGGAGCGGATCTACACAACGTGTATGGGGAAGCTGATCGAGGGCTGCTTCGAGGGCTACAATGCCACTGTGCTGGCCTACGGGCAGGTACAGGCTCTGCCCTCCAGCTGGGCTCTCCAGCAGCTCTGGGGACACTGACAGGGGCTGGGTGGAGGGTGTGAGACATCCTGGGTGTGGAGACAACAGAGTTGTCTCTGGTTGGGTGAGAGCTGGGGGAAGGGTGACCTCGGGTGTGAAGAGGGGGTGGCAGGGCAGGGGAGTGCGGGAGCTGATGTGTTGCTGGGGGTGACAGCAGCTCAGCAAGGGTATTTGGGGAGCCTAAAGCAGCAGGGGGAAAATGTGGGGTGCACTGGGCTGAGGGGGGCACAGCCAGCTCCCCATGCCTGTCTCTGCACAGACTGGCGCAGGGAAGACCTACACCATGGGCACGGGTTTCGACGTGAGCATCTCGGAGGAGGAGCAGGGCATCATCCCACGGGCCATCAGCCACCTCTTCAGCGGCATCGAGGAGCGCAAGCGGGCGGCCCAGAGCCAGGGCGTGGCAGCACCCGAGTTCAAAGTCAGCGCCCAGTTCCTGGAGGTGGGTGCTGGGGAGGTCTGGGGGACACTGTGGCCCTGCCATGTCCTGGCTCCCCTCCCGTGCCTTGGGTCCCTCGAGGTCTCTGTGTCCTGACTGGTTCCTGGCAGAGCTGGGCCCTGTGACAAGCGTGGCACTGGGGATGTGTGCTGGTGCAGTGGGGACTGGAAGCACCTACATGTTGTTGACCTCATGATGGCTGCAAACTGGGTGGAGGGAGCTCCCACCGTGGGGAAGGGTCTTATGGCTTGGTCCCCAGAGGCCCCAGGGGCTCTGGGCTGTTTGAGGTCAAGGATAGCCTGCTGCCTTGGACCAGAGTTCTCAGTGAAACAGGAGGAGAAGAAAGTGCCACTCTTGTGGGAGGGATTGAAGAAGAACTCTGCTATTTTCCATGTCCTTTGTTGCATCTCTGACCTTGGGAATGCATCCTCTCCTGCCTCTGTCCTGGCTTCTCCTGTTCAAAAGCCTCTTCTGTTGACTGCTCCATTCCCTGGAGAAGTTTGTCCTGGGAAGCCCATGGACCTCGTGTGTTGACAGCGTTTTCCCTGGGGGTTGTTCTTGGGCTGAAAGAGCAAAGAGGTGTGAGTGGGAACTGTTGTAAGGCCCCAGTGAGAAAGCACAGGGTGGTGTTGAGCAAAGCTTGATGTGGTTGCACCCAGAGGAGATGGGCAGGGAGGGGCTGTGTGCTGTGATCTTGCCTCTGGGTGGCTTTGTTGGGCATCACATCTGTGTGCCTTCAGATGTTGATGGCTTGGAGAGGGCCTTGGGGCCTCTTTGTTGGAGAAAAGAAACACCTCCTTGTTGGAGAAATCCTTCCCATTTATGTCTCCATCTGCAGAGCCCTTGGTAGCTCCTGTGGTGCTGTTGTGTCCCCCCATTCCCATCACTTGGCCTGTCCAAGCTCCTGGTTGCCTGCCCAGTTGTGCTCAGTTTGTGAGGCTTCTTTTTAGGGATCCTTTGTGCTGGGATGGAAATGGGGACATTTTCCTGCCTGTCCTGAAGTCCTGAGTGGCTAAAGCAGCACATGACCACATCAGGCACTGGTCACCAACCCTGCTGTCCTGGCAGGAGCACAGGACTTGTTCCAGCTGATCCCTGTCTTGTGACTCCTGGGAGCAGGCTCTGGGAACAGGTTTAAACCTTGGAGGAGCCTGGTGGCACCTGGGGCAGCCAGGGACGGATTAGGCTGATCCCTTCTGCTGGCCAGGAACCTGCAACCCTTGGGTGACCCAGCGCTCTGCACTGTGGCTGAATGGTGGTAGCAGGGGGACAGATGGGCAGGGGAGTCCCTGCACCCCAGGCTGAGAGGGAATGCTGCAGAGTTAAGATATGGATGGAGTCAGCTCTGGGACAGCAGGGTTTTCCTGCTTGTTCAGCACTCCCTGGTCCCCTTTATCCCCTTTCCACCTGACAGAGATGTCCTTGAGCTGTGATGAGAGTGGGGTTTCCCTGGCTCGTGTGGCCAGGTGAGCCAGGAAGGTCAGGGGGATTTGTAACTCAGTGGAGCTGCTTATGTGCACCAGGACCTGGACAGGTTTGGGCAGCAGAAACCAACCCGGACTGCAGCTCAGAGCTTTGCATGGCAAGTTCTGGAGCACCAGTCTGATGAGGAGTGGCTGAGGGAATTGGGGGGCTCAGCCTGGAGAGGAGGAGGCTCAGGGGATCCTTCTTTGTCTCTTCCTGACAGGAGGGTGGGGCCAGCTGGGGGTTGAGCTCTGCCCCCCTTGCCCAGGGACAAGGAACAGGACAAGAGGAAGCAGCCCCAAGTTAGATTGGATATTAGGAAAATTTTCTTGGCTGAAGTTGTGGTCTGGCATTGGCACAGGGCAGCAGTGGAGTCACCATCCCTGGAAGTGGTCAAAAGATGTGTGGGTGTGGCATTTGGGGACATGGTTTAGTGGTGAGCATGGCAGTGCCAGGGTAAATGGTTGGACTTGATTACCTTCGAGGGCTTTTCCAGTCTGAAGGATTCCATGATTCTGTGCATCATCTCTCTGCGTGTGCTTGTGCCTCCTCTCCTACACGTGCACACACCCCAGCTGCCCTGCTGAGCCCTGCAGACACGTGTGGGCACACACAGCTGTGGGCCAGGGGCAGCAGGGTGCCAGAGGGCAGCTCCTGCAGTGCCAGGCTTGAGCAGCCTCGTGTTTCCCCTGCTCACCCCGTGCCCACTGCTGCCCTGCTCAGCTCTACAACGAGGAGATCCTGGACCTGTTCGACAGCAACCGCGACCCCGACGCACGCCACCGCAAATCCAACATCAAAATCCATGAGGATGCCAGCGGGAGCATCTACACCACGGGGGTCACATCACGCCTCATCAGCTCCCAGGATGAGGTGGGTGCAGGATGGGCAGGGCTGGCAGCTGGGTGCCACTGCCCAGGGGTGTGCTCTACGTGAGGACAGCTTGGTGGGGGGAGGCTTCTCCCAGGGTGGGAGTGCAGTCCTGGGGGTGCTCTGGAAAAGGTCAGTGTGTCCACTGAGCTGCACAGGGTCTGTCCTCACTCCCTACAAGGATGCTTTAAAGTTTCCTTCCCTGCCTGGTGTTGTTGTAGCTGATCCAGTGCCTAAAACAAGGAGCTCTTTCCCGCACCACCGCCAGCACCCAGATGAACGTGCAGAGCTCCCGGTCCCATGCCATCTTCACCATCCACCTGTGCCAGACGAGAGTGTGTGCCCGCCCAGAGCTGGTGAGATGTGGTCCTGCCTCAGGGCCAGGCTGTTCCTGGGTTCCATACCCAGCTGATGCATGAAGTTCCCTTGGGGAGAGGGTCTGAAGTCCGGCAAAGAGAAGCAGGGATTTTTCTGTCTTCTTTCCAGTCATAGCCAGCATTAGGATTTGATGGGAGATGAGGGTGAGCTGATCCAAGGCAGGATGGCTCAGACCAAGCTGCTCTCGGGATCCTGTCCCCATCTCTGAGGGGCTGGATATGGAGAGTGAACGCTCAGACTCTGGGGGACGTCTGAGTGAAGGCAAGGGAGCCTCCTCTGCCTGCTCCCGTCTGGGGTGGTGACCCCTCACGTGTTCCTGGCTGCAGGTGAACGAGGAGGTGAGCAGCCTTCTGGATGGATCCCAGCCTGCTGCTGAGTACGAGACCTTGACAGCCAAGTTTCACTTTGTGGACCTGGCTGGCTCGGAGAGGCTGAAGCGGACGGGCGCCACTGGCGAGAGAGCCAAGGAAGGGATCTCCATCAACTGTGGGCTGGTACGGCACCGGGCTGAGCTGGTGGGCACGGGGACAGGCAGGGCAAGGCCTGCCAGGGGAGGCCTGTGACACTTCTGGGTCTTGCTTGGGGCTGCCCTGGGCTGTGGGGGTACTGCTGTCTTGGCTGGGGTTGGTGCTGCCCGTGCCTGATGGCAGGAACACGCACAGAGCAGTGGGGACAGCACAACTCTGCTGCCAAAGCAGACTTGTGCTATGGGGAGGGGTGCAGCTGGGCACAGTGGTGCAGGTCCCAGAAGGGTGAGATCTGTTTATCAGAGCTAAAAAACCCACTCTGGGGCTTGATGCTCAGTGCCACATGGGAGAGAGGCACAGCCCAGGCTAAGGGAGGCCCCGTGCCTGCCCCTTGTGCAACCCAAGCCTGTGCTACAGTGCATGCCCCAGGCCTGACTACTGTGTCCTCAGCTGTGTCCTCAGCCAGGGCTGAGTCTGGGGGGCTTCCCTTTGTGTTGGTAGCTGGCCTTGGGGAATGTCATCAGTGCCCTTGGAGACCAGAGCAAGAAAGTCGTGCACGTGCCCTACCGTGACTCCAAGCTCACCCGCCTGCTGCAGGATTCCCTCGGGGGCAACAGGTAAAGGGTCCCAGGTGGGGCTGAGCTTGGGGTGAGGGCTGCCAGGTGGGGCTGAGGGCACTCTGGAGCTATGTAGGAGATATCTCAGGACTCCAGTGGCTGCCTGGTGAGGAAGAGAGGCCTTCTTCCAGGCATGGCATGACTTGGCAGATGTAAAGACCGTGGCTCCTCACCAGCCTCGGGTGCAATTTGCAGCTTGGGCAGAATCAGCTGGTGCAGAACCTTCCTGAGCCCTCACAGATCTGGGGCTTGGCAAATGATGGTGCCTAGCGTGGGATTGAATTTCCTGCCTCTTCTCCAGAGAGGGAGGCATTGAGGAAGGGCTGTCAGTGCTGTCTGATGCACTTGAGGGGTCTTGTGGGTGCTCTGGCTCTGGGAGGGATGAACCCAGCTCACACCTTGTTTTAAAACCCAGAAGGGTGCAGGATGAGCTTCCATGCAGGATGGGTATCTGGGGGCACGAGGCCTGTGCTGGGTTTGCACCTGCTGGGTCGCTGAACCGTGCAGGGACCGTCTTTCACCCTGCCCTTGCATCCCCAAGCCAAACCATCATGATTGCCTGCGTGAGCCCCTCTGACCGGGATTTCATGGAGACCCTGAACACGCTCAAGTACGCCAACCGGGCTCGCAACATCAAGAACAAGGTGGTGGTGAACCAGGACAAGACGAGCCAGCAGATCAGCGCCCTGCGCGCCGAGATCGCCCGGCTGCAGATGGAGCTGATGGAGTACAAGGCAGTGAGTGGCCCCGTGTCCTGCTGTCACCCTGGCCAGCAAGGGAGCCACGTGCAGCCAGTTGTTCACTGCCCCCCAGTGGGATGGGGGAGAGAACTCAAGAGTAACAGTGAGAAAGTTCTTTGGTTTAGATACAGTTTGAGAGGTAAAGCAAACCAAGGAACTCATTCCCCACGTCCCATCACAGGGAGGTGCTCAGCCATCCTCAGTCCAGCAGGGCTCTGTCAAGTGTAGCAGTGACTTGGGACAACACTCCAGCCATCCCCTCTTTCTTCCTCCTTCCCCCAGCTTTCTATGCTGAGTATGACATCGTGTGGTTTGGGATATCCCTGTGGTGAGTGGGGGACAGCTGTCCTGGATGTGTCCCCCCAGCTCCTGTTGCACCCCCAGCCCAACACTGGTGGGTCAGGGTGAGGGGCAGAACAGCTCCTGACTCAGCAGGAGCTAAATCATCCTGTGGGATCAGTGCTGTTTTCAGCAGAGATCCCAAACAGCACCACACAAAGCTGCTGTGAGGAAAATGAACTCCACCAGAAACAAACCCAGCTGATGGAGTGACCCTGGTGAGGAGGAGGAGACAGATGCAGCAATCCCCCTCCTTGTGTTTGAATTGGGGCAGGGACCCTCCTGCCTCCCATCCCCTGCCCCCATGGATAGGGGTAACTGCTAGGAGGAGTCAGGAGCCTTAAGAAACAGGCTCTCAGCTCCTGCCTGTCAAGGCAGGACCTTGGCCAGGTTTTGGAGGTGGTAAGGCAGGGAGAAGCCCTGAAATGTCTCTCACCCTCTGCATGTTCAGCTCAGATGTTCCTGGTCCCTAGGTTTGCCCCTGCTCTGGTGTCTGGGGTTGCAGTGATGGGTGTCTGTGTCCCAGCTTACCCTGCTCTCAGGGGCTCCCCTCCTGTGCCCACAGGGCAAGCGGGTGATCGGGGAGGACGGTGTCGAGGGCTACAGCGACCTGTTCCGCGAGAACGCCATGCTGCAGAAGGAGAACAGCGCCCTGCGCATGAGGGTGAAGGCCATGCAGGAGGCCATCGATGCCATCAACAGCAGGGTCACCTACCTCATGAGCCAGGAGGCCAACCTGATGCTGGCCAAAGCAGGTGAGGCTGGGCTGCTGGGCGGTGTGCTGGGCCAGCCCAGGCAGCAGCTGGGGCGGGGGCTGTGGTGCAGGCTGCCTCTCTCCAGCCGTGCCTCTGCTGCAGGTGATGGAAACGAGGCCATCGGCACCCTCATCCAGAACTACATCCGCGAGATCGAGGAGCTGAGGTGAGTGAATCCCTGGGGTCCTAGGGCCAGGCTCTGGGGCTGGGTGCCAGGCAGTGCTTTGGTTATTGTCCTTGGTGTGGGTGTTGATGGAGGGGGAGGTCCTGTTTGAAGTGCCTGGGGTCCTCCAGGGACTGCTGCCTCCCAAAGGTGGGTCTGTTCCAGTCGATCCTGGTACCCAGTCTGGCAGCACTGTGGCCATCATTAGCAGGAATGTCTTAGTAGTGACTGTCCCTGGCTCACACCAACTGAGCACATCATGTTCAGTCTGTAGAAGACTCTGGGGAGACCTTAGAGCCCCTTCCACTGCCTGAAGGAGGGAGATTGCTGGTTTTTTTTATTTTTTACTTGGACAGTTAATGACAGGACAAGGAAAACTGGCTTTAAACTAACAGTGGAGAGACTTAGATTAGAAGTTGGGAAGAAATTGTTCCCTGTGAGGGTGGTGAGGCAGTGGCACAGTTTGCCCAAAGCAGCTGTGGTTGTCCCGTATCTGCAGGTGTATGGAGCTTGGAGCAACCTGGTCTAGTGGAAGGTGTTCCTGCCCATGGCAGGAATGTGGAAGGGTTTAAGGTCCCTTCCAGCCCAAACCACTGTGTGATCCTAAACCCAGGCAAGATCCCCTGTGCAGGGCCAGAGGGGGAGCCCCTCTGACTGTGCCCTGTTTGCACTCCCCAGGACGAAGCTCCTGGAGAGCGAGTCCATGAACGAGTCCCTGCGCCGCAGCCTGTCGCGGGTCTCTGCCCGGCCGCCCTTCTCCTCTCCGGCCCCCGGCCTGGCCGGGCTCTGCAGCCCCGCGGCCCCGCTGGACACCGAGGCCTCTGATGTCCTCCGCCGGGCCAAGCAGGACCTGGAGCGCCTGAAGAAGAAGGAGAGGCGGCAGCAGAGGAAGAGGTGCGGGGAGGGGGGGCTGTGTGCAGGGCTGTGTGTGGGGAAGGGGAGCTGTGTGTGGGGAAGGGGGGCTG